TTATAATAATTAGTTTTTTAAAATGCACTTCAATACTTGTGTACGCCGCCACTGTAATAGACCAGGCAATAAAGAGAAAAATTTCTAGATTTTCGCGGCCCGGTCCGATTCTAATGCGGTTTTTTGCATTTTGTTCAGAAAGACCGTCGGAAAAAAGTCCCGCCTTTTTTATTATCCGGAAGTGGCGGAAATGTATCGCGGATGCATAAAGTGCATCTAGAAGTGCATTGCATCCGAGAAACTTGCCAAAGTGCACGAAATATCGCAAAAATTGGTACTCGGGGGTTTTGGGGGGCGCAGAATTCGAGTATGCATATATCCAGTCCACCCGACCCCCCGGGGCGACTTCCGGCCGCCTGGGGGGTGCGGGGGGCACGTGGATTGGGGTGGTATGAAATCTAAAGTTCTCGAAATGACTGGGAAAATGTATCTCGGGTGTTTTCGCGGGTGCTGATTCCGAATCTGAGGGTGAAAAATATCTCCTGTGATCCATTTTTCCAGTCATTCGGAGAACCTTGCAATCCACGTGCCCCCCGCGCCCCCCAGGCGGCCGGAAGTCGCCCTCCGGGGGGTCGGGTGGACTGGATATATGCATACTCGAATTCTGCGCCCCCCAAAACCCCCGAGTACCAATTTTTGCGGTATTTCGTGCACTTTGGCAAGTTTCTCGGATGCAATGCACTTCTAGATGCATTTTATGCATCCGCGATGCATTTCCGCCACTTCCGGATAATAAAAAAGGCGTGACTTTTTTACGACGGTCTTTCTGAACAAAATGCAAAAAACCGCATTAAAATCGGACCGGGCCGCGAAAATCTAGATATTTTGGGGTAAATCGTTCTTTATTGCCTGGTCTATAATCATGTATTACAAATACATGAATTGTGCATGCACTGCGACTAAAGCTCGTCGTTATTTGAGGTTACACTAGCTGCTCCAGGCGAGGTACGAAAATTACTAAAAAATTGTTAAAAAAAATAAGTACGACGGATTTTGAAAAAATAAACTATTGATATGTGTTTCTGTACGTCAAAGGAAGCCTCTGTGTAAATATGACCCCTACTTAAAGTTACACCCTGTATGTTCAACAATTTTTGAAATCTCGGAGTCGACCATCCCTTTTTTTTTNCGCCTTTTTTATTATCCGGAAGTGGCGGAAATGCATCGCGGGTGCATAAAGTGCATCTAGAAGTGCATTGCATCCGAGAAACTTGCCAAAGTGCACGAAATACCGCAAAAATTGGTACTCGGGGGTTTTGGGGGGCGCAGAATTCGAGTATGCATATATCCAGTCCACCCGACCCCCCGGGGCGACTTCCGGCCGCCTGGGGGGTGCGGGGGGCACGTGGATTGGGGTGGTATGAAATCTAAAGTTCTCGAAATGACTGGTTCGCGGGTGCTGATTCCGAATCTGAGGGTGAAAAATATCTCCTGTGATCCATTTTTCCAGTCATTCGGAGAACCTTGCAATCCACGTGCAAGTTTCCGAGTTATTTTGATTTTTAGTGTTTGTTGTGGTATTAAATATTTATTATCAATTATCGGCTAAATATTTAATTCTTTCAGCGAAACCTACCTAAATATGGTTTGTTAAGGATTCTAAAAAGCCGAAATATCTTATTCTTTATCTCTTTCCAATGTAGTCAAAATAAATGTTTGTTATATCAAGCCATACTCAAATACAAGACTTTTACAAGTTAAAAAAAACAATATGGGTCACTTTAATTTTCTTGCATTGTCAATGGATATATTGCACATAAAAAAGAGGTGTAACCAGAATCGGTGATTAATTATTATCAATATCAGACTGTTTCTCTTTCATTTCAATGCTGCTTGTATATTCCAACTAATTTAGATACGAATTTCGGCTTAGAGGACAATTTAGAAATTGTCCTTCATGGCTACTATAATATGTATACTTTTTACAGTACATATTCTTAATAATAATAATTTTTGCCAATTTCTAATAATACATTGAATCAAATGGCTGTATACAAAAATCACCAAAAAAAATATATACGATTTCTTTTATTTCACAGTGGAATTAAAGTAGGAAAATTTATCCGTAAATTTTTACTCTTTTTCATATCTCCAAGAATAACAAAGACAAAGGGCGAGTTTTAGAAACCTTATTTTATCCGAGACAACCTTACTTTAAAATCAAGTAAAAACTTTTATCAGGAATGATTTTTTCTAAAGAATGAAAAATAAAAATCTTCGTGCTAATCTTGGACATACTGTATATCTATTAATTAAATGAGTATTATTTAAATCGTAGAATATCTATTAAAATTTATATTTGATAGATTAAAATCGAACCACCTGTATATCGGCTTACTTAAAACTGCATTTTTATATATTTAAATGCTTTTTTTTAAAGGTTTTCAATAAAGTAAAAAGTGAAAAAGTCTACTCTCCTTTTTTCATTTCCATCTGTGGAATCAGTCTATTACTCCATAGACACAGTGTGGTGGTAAGAATCAGGACACTCATATTTCATTAATTTATAATGCAGAATGTTTTTTAAAAATTTAGGAGTTGGAAATACTTGCAGATGAAACATTAACTAATTCCTGAAAAAGTTCAGATAATTCAATTAATACTAGCAGATAATTAGTGAGATTATAATTATGTTGTATTAAAGTTGCGTAATCAGGGGACCAACATTATGCCTCTAAAAAATCAAGGCTAACATGATTAATTTTCGAAATATTTGAAAAAAAACCGAAATTTTGGAAATACGTTTTTGTTTAATTTCAGCCTTGTTTGATTTGATATTGAAAAACGAAGAACATTTTCTCATGGCCATTTTTTGCCCTCTATCGAATGGCATAATCAATTTTTATATGTAACGTTTCGTCTCTCCAGGACCATCATCAACTTAATTTTTTTAAATACGATCCTGGAAATTTTATTACATTTTTGCAAGCCTTCATGACTCCCAATACTGTACTGCCTTAGCCCGAACCAGATTCAGACGTTTTGTCTCGAAAAATTCATCTTCAGTGTATTCGTTCCAAATTTATCTAAATTTTTTTTTAGATTTCTATATTTATTAAATTATCGTACACTGTACGTGTCCTTAGACCCTGTGAAATCCATCTAGTTATTTAAACTATTACCACCATGCATTAAAATAAAACATTATTAGAGTTTTATCAAGTGCTCAAAATTCAAACAAATTCCGATCTATTTTTTTTTCAGGATATTTATACAAATACATCTGACATGCTCTTTCACAGTTGGGGTTACAGATATAATAAATTCCGATAATACTTCGCTGATCTTCATTTCAACCTTTGCGAAAACGAAAATGTTTTTGAACATTTACTGTAATTTTTTAAACAATAATGTTCAGTTGGCGTTTTGGTTGTTCATATGCATTTTTAAGAATTAATTTGTCATAATAAAATTAAAATTGTATTAATGTTTTAATTTTGACGCAACAACTTATTAAGTTATGTGTGACTAAGTGATAGTAATAGTTAATAATAATAAATGTGTTATTGTAACCGCATGGTGGTAATAGTTTAAATAACTAAATGGATTTCACAGGGTCTAACGAATCTTACAGTGTACGATAATTCAATAAGCATAGAAATCTAAATAAAAAATTTAGATAAATTTGGCACGAATACACTGAAGATGAATTTTTCGAGACAAAACGTCTGAATCTGGTTCGGGCTGAGGCAGTACAGTATTGGGGGTCATGAAGGCTTGCAAAAAATGTAATAAAATTTCTAGGATCATATTTAAAAAAATTAAGTTGATGATGGTCCTGGAGAGACGAAACGTTACAAACAAAAATTGATTATGCCATTTGATAGAGGGCAAAAAGTGGCCATGAGAAAGTGTTCTTCTTTTTTCAATATTACCTCAAACAAGGCTGAAATGAAACAAAAACGGATATCCAAAATTTCGTTTTTTTTTTCAAATATTTGGAAAACTAATCATGTTAGCCTTAATTTTTTAGAGGTATAATGTTGGTCCCGTGTTTACGCAACTTTGCCCCCATTTAAGCTACTTCGTAGCTCTTATCATTTCCGAGATCCTTGTAGTGAGAAGCGAATTTGTAACAGCCTGTATACAGTTCCCTGAAAATAAAAATAAAGAATTATTCCAAAAACTATCGAGTTTACTATTCATATTGGTATATCCTGCAATTAACAAAAATTATTTATTTTCATTTATTAAAATTGTTAAAATTTTCTATATAAAAACCTAATTTATTACACAGGATAATACAGAATGCGAACAAAATATATAATTTTGGTAAAAATGTCTTTAATTTTTTTTCTAATACCTGTTTGGTTTTTATATAAACAGCAAAATCTCCTACAAACACTATTTTTGCAATTTTGTAAAAATATATTTGCATTCATTCTAACATGAAAGAACCTTTATTAGTAATAATAATAACAATTGGTGAATAGTCGTAAATCTTGTCTAAAATTATGAAAATAATTTATATGCAGACTCTAATATGTACCAATCATAGTCTGTCTGTAGGGTCAATAATTACCTAATTTTTTAATTTTCAGGCGCTTTCAAAACATTTTAGATTTTTCTATGCAATGGAAACTTTATAAATTTAAAACTTTGTTTAACAAAATTATTCTGCGTTATAAATCGTGCAATCAGAGATACAGTGGTGTTAAGTGATTAAGGCTAAGGGTAAAATTTTTAATAAAAATATATCTAAAATGATTTTCCCAAAAAATCACTTCTAAAAAAATCCGGGCAGGCCATGAATTGCCAAACTGCATTACCCTAATTAGCTCAACAAGTGCAAAATGCGGCTATGTATAAAAAAAAATCGTTCAAATCTTGCATTCAAAATTCTGAATGGGTTCTTAATGGGACATATGTACAGCAGGCTTTAATTAATATCATATCAGAGTCCATTAAAATTTTTCTTTGGTGCTAAAAGAAGAAAATAGCTGAACCAGTTATTAGAATTCTTATTTTACATAAAATTAATTTTAATAACTTTGTATTAGGAAATGTCTCCTCCACCATTCTCTGATTTGGGAAAACGGGCTAAAGATGTATTTGGAAAGGGTTATCACTTTGGTCTTATTAAATTGGATTGTAAAACCAAAACTGCAACTGGCGTAGAATTCAATACTGGCGGCACTTCAAATCAAGAAACAGGAAAAATATTCGGTTCCCTAGAAACAAAATACAAAGTTAAAGATTATGGTGTCACATTCACAGAAAAATGGACCACCGACAATACCCTAGGAACAGAGCTTTCTGTACAAGACCAAGTTATACAGGGACTTAAACTCTCTGGAAACCTTGATTTCTCACCTCAGACAGGGTAATTATTAGCATTGAGAGATTGTGGTTGTACCTATTAGGTGTCTGCTAAAGAATGGGCCAAAGGTCGTCATTATACAAGGTGTCCCTTTCATGTTTCAAAAAAACTTGTGTGCAAGTTCCTCATGGGAAAATAATAGAGGTAGTTCATGTATCGTTTTTTTCTTAGATGCTCTGTTTTCGAGATACAGTGTGTTAAAGTTGTCACTTTCTAAATGGTTTTCCTTAATTATCATTAAATCGGCTAAAGATAAAAATGTCAAAAGTACACTAGTAAACATCAACTGTGCGTTAAGAATAATGTACAAACGGTTTCTTTCTGAAAAGCAGTGTCACCGATACAGGTAATTGGAGGGGTACATTTGAAAAAAAATACGTTAAAAGTCAAAATTTATTACACTTCTAAACGGTTCTGTAAACTATAAAGTATACTGCAAAAAAGGTATATGTGTCAAAATTCGGTAGCATAGCATGTACCATTTTCGAGAAAAATGTAGTTGCATTTTTTTTGCTCACATAAAGCGGCACAAGTACATTAACAAAATATTAAATTGAAAAAGGACTTTACCATTGAATGAGCTGAAGACATTTAGCTACTAACAGTATTTGCATTTAAGACTATAATTCTAATTTCTTACCACATGAAATAGTTAAATTGTAAAACATTTTATTAACTAAAAAAAAAATAAAATTTATTTTAATTTTCAGCTTGTAAAGTAACATTTAAAAAAGTGAACCAAAATAAACAGATTATGGTAATTAATTATCTATTAATAACTAAATTTAAATTTTGTAAACTACTGCACTACCATTACTAAAATAAACAATTGTTGAATGGACAGAATTGTTGATGGACATGAATGCTTAAAAAAATGATAAGAACAGAAAAATATTAGGAAACAAACTCGGACACATACAGAACAAAACAGCTGCACAATTAAATGAGCAAAACTTGAAATACTACAGTAGATGCTGAAATTACCCCCCATTTGCTTCTATGCAACTTTCCTCAAAAATGGTACATGCTACCGAATTTCAACAAGAATACCTTTTTTTTTAGTATGCGTTAGAGTTTACAGAACCGTTTAGAAATGTAATAAATTTTGACTTTTAACATTTTTTTTTATTATACCCCTCCAATTACCTGTATCGACGACACTGCTTTTCAAAAAGAAACTGTTTGCACATTATTCTTAACGCACAGTTGATGTTTGCTCGTGTACAAATTTTGACATTTTTATCTTTAGCCGATTTAAAGATAATTAAGGAAAACCATTTGGAAAGTAACAACTTCAACACACTGTATCTCGAAAACAGCGCGTCTATGAAAAAAAGCTTTACATGAACCACCCCTATTATTTTTCCATGAGGAACTTGTACACAAGTTTTTTTTAAACATCAATGGGACACTGTATTAGTGGGGGTCGTTTATATAAAAATTTTCAATAGATACATTTTCAAAATATGACTAAAAGTAAGTTCAATTTTTTCGACTTCAACATGCTCTATCTTGAAAATAAAGCATTTATGACTTTTTATATGATCTTCCTCCATTAATATTTGTTATGGAATCTACTGATGAAAATTGGCTTTTTCTTTAGTTGACCCATTGTATAAGCTCTGAAACTGTGATTGTGTTATGTATTCGATCAGTAGAATGATTGTTCTTGTTGTTTAGGAATTAACTGATTTATGTTAAAAAGTGTTTGAAATTAGGGTGTTCAAATAATTTTTCTTTCACGCGCGCTCGCTATGGGACCTATAGTGTAGGGCAGGGGTCGGCAAGTAATTTTAGGTGGGGTCCGGATACTTTTAAAAATGTTTAACGAGGTCCAGAAAAAATTTTATATTTCTTACAAATTTTCATTTGAACTCAAATTTAATCTGGTTACTAACTATTAAGAACTCAAAACACTCACACAATTGTAAAATACTAGAAAAAATGATAAGATTGGCACTCAAACGTAAAAAAACATTTTTTAAATAATTTATTTGAGTAATTTATACTTTCAAAAAATTTTTGGCGGTCCAGTATTTTACCTTCCGCGGTCCGGACCTGGACCGTGGTCCGCTAGTTGCCGACCCTTTGTGTAGGGGGTTAGGTCCCATAACGACTCGCACTTGTGATAGAAAATAGTATGTGCAACTCGTTCGGAAAAGTTGCCATAGCGCCACTTGGGCGCTTTCCGCACTCGCTTCGCTCGTGCGTCAACTGCGTCCGCGTGGCGGTATTGGCAACTTTTCCCCACTCGTTACACAATGTACTATAATTTTACCTTTGTATCTCAATTGAATTCACTCACTATGACTTAAAAAACTGGTTACTAGGAATCAGATACTTCAATTCCCTTAAAATTCAATAACATAGTGATTTCTCTGATCTAAGATTGTAATTTCCCATAATTCTCTTAAATGACTTAGAGATGATATACTGCTATAATTTTTATTAATCTCATCAAAATATCTAATTACATTTGCTGAAATTTGCTAGTAAGTAAAAATAGAATATATAACAATATTCTTAACCTGATCTAAGATAACTTTTGTAGATAGATTTCTGTATTATAATAAGTATATAAAAAGAACTTAGAGGGATAGTTTTCTATGTCAAGTTGCAACCTCGGAGTCGAAACAGATTTCCGCGTCTGTAGATATTTATTAAAATCTTTAATGGATTTTTTTCTCTGCATATTCTAACATCGACTTTACAACAAATCTCCAGAACTAGCTCATCTCATCAAAACTAAACAAAAAACAATAGTACTACCTATTTTGTTCTGAAAACGGTTCTTGAAAGCTGTAGAACAGTTTTTGATTAAGTAAACTTCATGCTTACAAATTGTAACATTATATAATTTAAATGTGTTAGAATTAGGGGAGGTTAAAAAATTCCAAAAAAAAAATTCTGAAATTTAAACTAACTACTTATTTTAAATCGAAAAGGCCACTGATGTTATACTATTTCTGAACAGTTAAAGGACTTAATTATAAAAAAGTTAATATATGCATCTAGCCATTTATTCAAATAAGCGAGTTTTTTATAGCACTTTAAATTGGACTGATTTCCACCTATAATGCTAACAATATTCCCTATCATGGTTATTATAAACAAAAATTTTGATTGGTAATACTTTACCCAAATCTGTAAAGGAAGGTTATCTGCGACATGATTGACAGCTTATATGAAATTAGCTTCTACGAAAGAAGTGCCTTTTACATTTGACGTCCATTTCCTCTTAAGTTTCTTAAGTAACTGACCAAAAACTGTTTTATGTGTAATCTTTCGAAGAATCATAGAACTCTTAATAGTCATTTTAGGAAAGACTGTTACTCTCTGGTAATTTTTATTTTGAAAAGAATCAGCTCTAAAAGTTTGTTGTCAAGTCGCTGTTACATGTACATTAACATAATAACTCTTTTAGAAACAAATCGGGAGCTGTAAAGACAGCTTTTCAGAATGATATTGTAGCAGTTAACACTAACGTAAACCTGGATTCAAACGGGCCTGTAGTTCAGGCTTCCGCTGTCCTAGGATACCAAGGTTGGTTGGCTGGATACCAAGGTGCGTTCGATACACAGAAGAATAAATTGACGAAAAATAACGTCGCTTTGGGATTCTCCACCACAGATTTTGTACTGCACACCAGCGTGTAAGTAATTTTTCTTAGAAAAATTAAGGATCTTGTTTTTTAGGAAGTACATTCTTTTTAAACATTTTTTTATTGAAATTTAAATTGATTTGTTTATAGGAGCAAAAAAAATGTATTTATTTAAACCAAACTACAATCGCAACTATAACCTTCCTCTTAATCATTCAGTAGGTAGTAGGTACATGTAGTTTATTTTGATTAAGTAATATTTTTTAAATGAATATAATAGAAATAAATTGTTTTCATTTGTAGCTTTTTATACAGTTTGAGTGTTAAGAAATATTCGGAAATTCAAAACATATCAAATAAGTATGCTCATTGAAAATGTCAAAAAAAAAAAGTAAATAAAATGCGATAAAATAAAATTATTCTCATAGCAGAAGAATTGGAGAGCTTGGTTATTTACGTTACACATATAAATTACTTAAATAAATGTGTTATCAGTAGTTGTATATTTTTGTATTCGAGTAAAATTATGAAAAAAAGTAATGAATATTATACAAATATTAACCAACTACTGATAACCTCCAACTGATTCTTTAATTACATTTTAAACATATTTTGGTCCCAGTAATTATAGGAATAATTGCTGACATCATGAAATTTGGTCATTAAAAAAATATATGAAGATTCGTTCCATATGCCGATATTTCACAATTATGCAAATATCAAGATGTTTGTCCCACATATGCGCTGTAGGTGTTAATGGGCAAATGAGTGTAACTAACCATCTGTTTAATCTAATCGTATTGTAATATCTAGTGAATTTCCTGACAGTGATGACGGCCAAGAATTTGGCGGTTCCATCTATCAGAGGATCAATCCCAAACTTGAAACAGCTATTCAGCTGGCCTGGTCCTCTGGAAGCAACAACACTAAGTTTGGCCTCGGTACCAAGTTTGATCTAGACTCAGATGCTGCTATTCGAGCTAAAATTGATAACTCCTTATTGGTTGGTTTAGGATACCAACAGCGTTTACGTGATGGTAAGGACAAAAATAAACATTTAAATACAGTGGAGTTAGGTTATAGCAACATTCTAAGAGACAGTGAAATCGTGTCATGCTAAACTGATAATGTAATAAAATGAATGATAAAAACTAATCTATATGAAACCAAATTTAAGGGTGGAGATCACGATATGTGATCGGTCATTGAAAGTGTCGCAATAAGTGAACTCTACTGTATTTTTAATTTTCACAATGTTACCAATGTAATTCTTTTTCACTTGTCACAACTTCACTTTTAATTCACCTTATTAAAGCAGTATTAAATATTTATTTGGCATTTAGTATTCTTCAAATTTAAATAGTTTTTCGTCATATTTCAATTTCTAACAGTAAGAACTAATTCGTTAAAAAAGTGGACTCATTGTTACCAAGTTGTCAATTGTCAATTCGCCTTGTTTGTGGTAGAAGCTCTGAACTAATTGAAAACATTATTTTGTCCTTTTTTACGGATTCTGCAGCTGTAAGAATGTGATGTCACATTCTTAAATACTGTCAATTTAGATCAAAATTTAAATTTGTGAAAAGATATAAATAAATATTTTATATGTGAAAGTACAATGCAGTGGCGGCTCGTGACATGAATCTGGGAATTTTTAGTTGCATTTGCAATATTACCGAAAAACTGATGTTCGTGAGAAGGATTTTCATTTAGATTTTATAAAAAATAGAAATATTAGTTCGGCTTGTTGACTTCTGTAAACATTAACGCACACCGTACATGTATGTTCCAAAGAAGCTTTGTGGTTACGACAGCCTCGCATGACGTTCCCAAAATTGTTAAATCCCTCGTTATTCCACACGTACGACTTTACACCCACAATTAAACACGGCATACAGATGTTTTTTTAAATAAACATTTCTACAAAACCATTTATATTCCGAATACCATTAGTTCCGAAACTTCCGAACGTACACATTGTCTTTTGACTTTCCCTTTTTTCCATATCGAGAAAATAAGGCACAGGTCTCTCATGATTTAAAAAATCCTTTTTGTCCTCGATTCCTCATTTGGAAAATGGGGTTTCAATAAAATACATACTGGATCATACATAGGAAACATTTCTGCAATTATTATACAAAACAAATATTAACTTAGAACCGTTATAATCATGCACTGGGCGACGCGTATCGTATAAACTGTTTAAAGGCAGACGATGGGCAATGACAATGCTGCTTCAATATCCGCGTCACTCGATCCCCCATGCCGTAGTTTACTCCCGTGTTGGCCGCCTCGTTGCCATGACAACCGCCTCAAACAACGCTTCGTAGAGAAGCGGAGTACAGACTGATTTCGATCTGCATCACTTGCGTATACTATATGTTGCATGGTACGAGGTTGATGTTCGCACTCAACGAAGGCAATGGTTTTTTAGAAGGCGTTCACCGCGCAACTATTCTATTTATTTCTGTGTATTAAACAAACAAACACAATATAGAATTTTCAATATAGAATAGGGTTGTCCACTATCAAAACAAACCATATACAAATTGTTGTTCAGTCAAAGATTTTATATAAAAGAAGCTGCCTGCATAGTCAAATTTTAAATATATGACAAATTAGTGGTAGAAATCATTTATGAATTTTTGTGTTACTTAAAAACTAGTCTGACGTCATAACATAGGGGCAATTGAACAAGAGGCTAGTAGCGATCCTATTGCATAATTTTGGAGAAGAAAATATGTCAAAATTGTCCATCAAACTCTGCTGCCCTGTTTCCTGTTTTTTAAACAAAAGTGACACTAGTGACAGCAGTCTATCAATTAAGAGTATTTGTGATAATTATTAATTTCCTGATTAAAATGGATTCAACAAAATTTATGTGGTGTTTTGTTCCACATTCCACATAGCCAATTGCATTATCTCCATAAGACTCCCGAACTGCACTATAAATTTCCATAAATAAATAGGTATTTTATATAAATAAACACAATAAAATCATTCATTAAATATGTTGATCCTTACCTGACTACTTTTATACCTCTGATTTCGCCAATATTAAAACGCTCGTCTCTTTTTAAAAATTCAATTCATGATCATAATAATATCAATTTTCGGTAAAATTTGCGAAGCGTCTTCTTCCAATTTTTTTCCTTTATGCAATCATTTACACATAATTTCAGTACAAGGTGCCCCTTAGGACGTCACAACTGTTTTGAAATGTTATAAAAAAATCTGTTTTAAATAATTATTTTAAAACTGTTCTGACACATTTCTCAATCTCGAAATGTATATACACACTAGTTAGTATGTGTAGAATTATATTATCTACTTTTTGAAATTGGGTCAACAACCCTATTATACCTAAATTATAAAATTTATATAAATTTAAAAATAATTTTAAATGCACAACCTAACGGAAATTTTAGGTGAAGCCGTGCGTCACTTGTGTAACCTGACGAGCCGCTACTGGTACAATGATTAACATTTGTTTACCTACCTTGATTTCAATAACAGACTAACATTGTTTGCACAAAAGATGTGTAAAGATTTTATAATTGATGTAATTTTACATAATTAAACAGGTAATGCATATAAAATTTCTTGGAACCTATACATTTTTTCGATTGTGGTTTATTTTTGATTATTTAATTGTTTAGATGGATGCACAGTTTTTAGATTTTATTATGCGGCAATACATCTAAAATAGACATGATGACAGTAACCAAGAATCACTAAAATTATGTATTTCTCCAATGAAATATTATTCATGGATTATAAAAAATGTATTTATTTTTATATTATAAGCGAGATTGATAATATTTTTGATAAAATAAAACTACAAAATACAGCAAACCGCCACGATAGATTGAACACCAATCAGAGCGAATTACGTCACATCTATGTAAACGTCATTTTGTGTCATTTGTACTTCGACAATATCCACATTATTTATCTTCGTTTAAATATTTTGTGTTTGCTCAGTTTTGTGTTACCAAAACCATAATCAGGAAACGTTAGGTACTTGAAAAGTTTCTAAAAGAAGGAAAGAAAAGAAAGCTCAACAACTGCTAGTTAATAAAATATGAAAGAGACTATGTTTGTGATCAAAAGTTTATCCATGCATAAATTGGTGCTGAAATACAAAGAACAGTCCTGCGACACATTTTTGAAAATACTCGTATTGACTGGTGAAGATGACATGAAAGTTGAAGAAGAGACGAGACCAACATCAAAGCTGTTTTTGGCATGAGTTAAGATATGGCAGAGTGATGGCCTCACGAGCGTTGAATTTAGTCGGTGCAAAACCAATGATGCAACTCTGATCATGTTAACAATGGGAGGAAAAATCTCATGCATCGGCCACGAAACGCGATAGAATGTTGGATGATGAAGTCAGGAAAACTGTAAATTTAAAGAATGTGGTATAATGCTTTGCAAAAACTATCCCACGATAGCAGGATCAACTGATGGAATCTGTGAAAACAGTATTATTGAAATTGAATGTACAACGAATATGAAAACTTTTAAAAATTATGTGGAAAAAGGAAAATCGACCCAGAAGTTTTATGTGCAGATGGCAGCTACAAATGTATTTAACAGGGCTTCAAAAGGGTTATTTCGGTGTAAATGATTGCAACTACAGTACAAATAAAAGTAGAAATAATTAATGTTACATTTAATGACAACTATGTATCAGATTTTCTTAATGTTTTAGTCTCGTCATGGAAAGATAATGTGCATCCATTATTATACCAAAGCAGAATTTGAGGGTAAATAAAATGCATATACTATTATGGTAACTTTGTATTTTTATTTAACTAATGAATCTTGCAACACAAAATATTAGCACCTGATTTTACGTTTACTATTGACAAACATAGATGTGACGACACGTAGACACCATGACACCAGCGACCGTTTTTACGTGAGTTTAGAGTTAAAATTAAAATGTCAATATTTTTCTACTAAACCTTTTATTTTCTACAGATTTTTGAAAATAGTAAATACTTCCGAACATCACAGAACAGTTTGTCAAAATCTGTCATCATGCCTATTTTCGTCGTCACTGTCAAGCAAAAAAACTTACTTTAATTGGTGATGCGAAAGAAAGGTTTTTTATGAGGTTTCACAAATAACTTTATATGCTTGCAGACTAATAAATAAACAAAGTTTTCTCTGCTAGTTAAAACGCACTAAATATACTTACTCAAATGTTTTGACGTACAGGCGCTAATTTGTGTTGTTTACAGTGACCTGAAAAATTCATCTCGGTCAAAAAAAGGAATTAAGTCGTGAACATTTTTGTGCGATTATTTTTTACAACCTTCGACGTGAATTATCTCATCAACAGTGCATCTATGAACTTAATTCAGCTTTTGGTGATGAATCCACTGTATATCGAACAGTGGTATACTGAAATCAATTATGACAAATTTCGTGAAGGTCATCCAAAATCGGTTGTTGCTGAACTAATATTGCAAGATTCTCATGTGACTTATCGTGAGATTGAGGCGTCCTTGGGCATTAGTGAGATTAGCATACATTCAATATTGCATGAGCATTTGGCCACCAAAAAAATGTTTTTCGTGTTGGATCCCACATAATTTGACAAACGCTCAAAAAAGGCTCATGTCGATTGGTTGAAAGAAATGCTCAAGAAATACGATCACAGTGCTTCATGTCTATGACATCGTAACAGGTAATCATGGATCACATATGCGTATGAGCCCAAATGTAAAATAACAGTCGACTATATGGGTCAAGATGATCCAAATCCAACAAAAGTTGTTCATACACGTAGCACTTCTAAGCAAATGGTCGCCCGTTTTTTCCAAAAATCGGACACGTGGTAAATGTACTATTAGTACAATGTTGGATGACGAATTCTGAAACCATTTGTTTGCCAGAAGTTTTTGGAAAAATAACGGATTGGTTCTCAGTTTATCAGTTTACAAGATATTTTTAATACTGTATGTAATTTCCTGACATTCTATGTTCGTATGTGAATTTTTTTTTTTTACTGAAATTGAAAAAGAATTTGTATAGTGCATGTTGTATTTTATTAAGTTTGATTTTATAGTAAAATCAGTGTTTGTGTCTTCACTGTTAAATTTATGATATGAAAAAAAAATAATAATAAGTTATGATAACTATGTTGCAGCTCGCGGTTGTTTGAGGTTATGCTAACCTGTCCAGCAATGGGGTATGAAAATTAATTAAATTAAAAACGTTTAGTTTTCACAATGGAACTTGAGAAAACAAACTTACGTGTTTCTAAAGGGCAAAGGAAGCCTCCATATAAATAAGTCCCCATTTAAATCTATCACTTTCTATCACTAGTTCTGTCACTTTTAGTATGGTGAAATTTGGTATACCTTTCTTTTTTAAAGATCGATAACATTTTAAGGTGACGAAACTGTACTAAGGTAACTTGATTTAAATTGAATTAGTTTCATTTAGTAAAGCTACCTTTGAAGTATGGCCGATTATACTTGTTATGGAGAGTAACTCAGATATAATATAAAAACACTATTACTATAAAATAAAGTGTATAAAATATAAAATGATTTGTAAGGGTTCAATATTATTTGTCTTGAATTAAATGATGTGCCACTCTCCATGGACATTGATATAAGCTATAGACTTGAGTTACACTGAACGTCGATCTGTCTTCTATCTCTGTCTATTGCACTTACTTATAGGCAAATGCTTTTTTAGCGGACGTAAACAGACATACATAGTATTTGATTTAAACGTCATTAGAAAACGGAGCACTAATTCTATGGCTATAATAAATTTATAAATTAAAAAAATACAACCTGGAAATTTTAAAACGTAGTAATAATGAAAATGGATCAAAGTGCCGGTTGTAGCAAATGGTCTGTTAGTTATAAACGCCCTTATCTATGTGATGGCATCATTTTATAGAAAACACAGTTTTCTTGATAAAACCTCTAAAAATAATAGAGGTTATGTTTTATTATCTTTTCCAACATTTTTCTATATCTTGTACCTTCTAAACTGATACGCCTATGGATTTTCGTTCCCCCGCACTTCATCCTCCTTACTATTTCAAGAGGTAGCGATGAGTTTAATTCTCCATACTTTCGACTACGAGGTATAGTTGTAATTGTCAGTGTTGCGAGAAACGACTACTCGCAACACCTAGTGCAACAGCTAGGATCGTTTGTCAGTTTAACCCACCAGGCACAGACCGGTTTCGGACTTATTAGTTTTCATCAATGTGTCATAGGTGAGACAACCGACGAACGATCCAGCTGTTTTGCGTCGTATCATCACGACAAGGAAATACATTGTACGCGGGAGCGCAAATGGCTCCATCTGTCGTGCTGACTCCCAACTGTGCCATTCAAATGGCTACAGTAGGAGTATAATTCAATGCTGGTAGGGGCATATAGCCCTAGGAGTAGTTGTTTCTCGCAACACTGACAATTAAAACATTGTCTTCGCCCTCTGTGGGTGGCAGTTGTGCAACAAGTACCTGTGGGTAGCAGATCACTTCCTACCGTAGCCATTGGAATGGCACAGTTGGGAGTCAGCACGACAGATGGAGCCATTTGTGCTCCCGCGTACGAGGTATAGTTTCCAGTATATTAAGGAAAAAAGCTGGTTGACTTTGTCAATTGCATTTTTCTTAAATAAACTGCATTTTGAGTGGTTTCAACAAGAATATTTTTATATAAAATGAAGCTTTAACATCATGTCAAAAAACAAAAAATGATAGGTCCATAGGTAAAAATTATTCCAAAACTAGTAGAAATAGCTCATGTCAACAAGTATAGACTTAGACAAGTATATTCAATTTAAATATTTAATTCTGTTTGATATTGACAGCCAAACAAAATGAGTTCTTTTCCTTTACTGAAATAACTACAATATTTATAGAAAAAATTTTGTTGGCAAAACATTGCAAAATAAGGCTTTAGGCATGCGATCTGTAAAGTCGATTGACAATTTTCTGATCGCATGCCTCAACACTGTTTTAGTACCTTTTATGGTCCAAAAAAAACATATTTTTTTCGTGTCTCTTGTGAAAATATGTTAGGTTATCATGTTTAAAAGCCCCCCTCAAAAAATCTGCTCAAAAAGAGTTTTTTTAGAGGTCGCTCAAGATTTTTTAAAATTTCCAAAATCGTCAAAAATAGATTTTTTTTTAAATTTTTTTCTCGTTATTTTATTATTTTTTAGGTTGAAAAAAAATCTCGATTCTGAAAATTTCAAATCGATATTTTAATTTTTAAAGGTCACTCATAATTATTTTAACTTTAAAAGTAGTGTACCTAAAATGTTTTCGAGCGACCTCTAAAAATAAATATCAACAAACAAATTTTTTTTATTGAATTTGACGAACAAAAGAATAGAAATAAATCATGAGACATTTAAAAAATTTCTCAAAACAAAATTTACTACCGCACTGTGAGTAACAAATATTTGTAATTTTTTAATTTTTTAAAATTTAAGTGGTACACTACTTTGAAAGTTAAAATAATTATTTTCAAAATCGAGATTTTTTTCAACCTAGAAAATGATAAAATAACGAAAAAAATTTTTTAAAAAATTAAATTTTTTTACGAATTTGGAAATTTTTAAAAATCTTGAGCGACCTCTGAGAACATTTTTTTTGAGCTGGTTTTTTGAGTGGGCTCTTAAAACATGATAAACTAACATATTTTCACAAGACACAAAAAATAAATATTCGTTTTTTTTTGGGCCACCCTAATGACTATATCTGACTTTTTTTTTTTTGTTTTCAGGTGTAACTTTAACTTTGTCACTTCTAGTTGACGGTGCAAACTTTAACAACGGAGGGCACAAGATTGGCTTAGCCCTCGATATGGAGGCTTAACTTAAATATCTCCCGATTCCCACTGTATTAGCGCCACCATATATTTAAGCCTGTTGTATCGTAGAAATATTATTTTAAAGGACTTTTAGTATTAAAATCTACTTATTGTTCTGTCATACTAAATCAGAAATTTTGGTTTTTACAAACTGTATATAATAAATGTAGCTCACTCCCAAGAAATAATTTTAATTTCCTTAAATTTGGGAGAAGACTGTTTTGGCAAATTCATTATATGTTTGCAAAACTAAATAAAAAAGAGAGATCACTACATTCAAACACTGATTTAAGTAAACATGATATCCACTCTTTTAAAATTTAAACCAACAGACGACTTTAAATATATGATTTACAATTTATTTATTAGTTTTATTAATATAAATATTACAGAACATGAAATACCATACAGCAAATTTTAACACGAATCTTTTGTGTTTTCTATTTACGACACCATTTGTTCTTCCATGACCTTTAAAATCCATTCGGGATGATTTTTGGAGATACTCTCGATAATGGAGTTCACTTGATAACATAGGGACTGAATTTGTTTGTCCCATTGAGGTAAAGTTTCTCTTGCTGAAATGGAAAAAACATACTGACATTTTGCATAATTTTAGTGTTCAAGAACTTTCATTAAGTTCGTTTAATTACTTTTTGTGCATATCCTCGAGTTCATTTAAATTGTCACTCGATTCCATTTTTGTAAAAAGAATATTCTACGGTATGAATCAGTGATGTTTTGGTGGTCCAAGCTGAAATACTTGGGGTAGGTATATATATTGTGGGTGTAATTTAATTCTGAATGAGGCTATAATCCGCAGAGTAGTTGTTTCCCACAATATCGTTAGTTAAAAATATTTATTATAGCTGTTTTACATTGACAATTTATTGATCAATTATTTCATGAAGTCGCTTCATCAAGAAATTGGACAAGTGTAATGCACCAAATCTGCTGTCAAATAACTTCATGAATTTATTCATCAAGTTCTTGACGAATTAGAGCATGTTCTAATTTTCGTCAATTTCTTCGTGAAGTTCGGAAGTACCAACCCAACAGATTTCCAGCCTCAGATCAGTAATGAGATGTTATTGGAATATGTAAATAATTGTGTAGTGTCGTGCTAGATTTGCATTGTTTTTACTGATTTGTTACTTACAAAAACTAATATTTATATAATATGTGTTAGAACGGTACCGCTATTGTATCACTACAATTATCAGTGGAAAGGTGACATTTTTGAAATTTATTTGCTTTTTTGATTCGTTGGTAGAACTGATTCATGCGTCAAAAATCTTGACAAAGTCTGTAGCAGTGTAAAACCACACTGTTTACCAATAAATTCGTGAATTAATTCATGAAGAACTTTGTCAATTTATTCATCAATAAATTGTCAATGTAAAACAGCTATTTAGTCCAACCAAATTACACTTGGAGAAAAAAAAAAATTGTTACCTGGACTTTTATAAGTGGAAATGGTAAAAGGGCTTATAATAAACCTAAAAAAAATAAATGCGTGAGCAGGCGCGGCGGAGGATTGATTTGGGGGGGTTGAAAAGTTATGAAAAGTTGTATAATTGGGATTTCTGGCGAAAGTTGACGTCAAACAAAAAAGTATCTAATACAAAAGTTGTAAAAAAATCTGTAATAACAGTTAAAAAACACTAAAAAATGCAAAAAAAATAAAAAATGACTTGCAACAATGAATTTTTCAGTTGTTGATAATTTGTTTAAATTAAAAAACATTCAAAAACTGATTACACCATTCAATTCTACGGAAAAAAATAAAAAAAACTGTCATTGTTTGACCCAAAACTTTATTTACAGTATTGCTATCAAGTCGAATTACAAATACTCAAATGATAAATTATCTCTAGACCATTTGAGATTTCAGCAATACAAAGTATTAACTGCAAAGTTTACTGTTGACGCGAAATCGGAAAACCCGAAATTTTGCAAAATCGTTTTATGTTTTTCTGGATTTATTTGAAAACGAATTTTAAATAAGTTGCATATTATTTACATTGCCACTTTTTTCGCTCTATCCAATGGCATCAACATTTTTACAATCCAACGTTTCGTCTTCGAGGGTCCATCATCAGAATTTTTTAAATATATCGCTGCTATTTTTATGACAAAATCTAGTCATTTTTAATTCTGTGTTAGATGATATTACTATTGTAATCGCTTAAAAATGTTTTTAGCCATCATTAAAAATTTTTCCTGGGTACGGCTCCGAACGCTTTCAAAATACCTGTATCTATTGGAGGAGAGGGAGAGAGGAGAGAATAAAAGTCAATACAGCACAAAATATCCAACAACTTTTTTAATCCATAATTTAAAAAATTGTACAATAAAAAATATGAAATATTTTATTATTTCTAATTAGTATTGCTAATAGTAGGTACCTAGTAAAAAATTGTGGATATTTTTAAAAAATTTAAATTATAGCTAAAACAAGTTAAAAACTTTTTACAATAGTAATATCCTCTAATTCAGAATTAAAAATGACTAGATTTTGTCATAAAAATAGCAGCAACGTATTTAAAAAAATTAATCCGATGATGGCCCCTCGAAGACAAAACTTTGGATTGCAAAAATGTTGACGCCATTGTATAGAGCGAAAAAAGTGGCATTGTAAATATGTAATTTATTTTAAAATTCGTTTTCAAATAAAGCCAGAAAAAATTGAACAATTTTGCAAAATTTCGGGTTTTTTTCGGATATCTCCGGAACTACCAGGAATTTTAAAACTTTCTAAACAGCATATTGTTAGGTATAAAAAAACACAACCTTTTTCTAATCTGAGCCACCCCGTATCTCTTACCGTTTACTGGATCCTAATGCCTATCCCATCCTTATCTTGGACATACTGTATATCTATGAATTCATCAAAATTTAAAAAAAAAAAAATAAGTACACTAATTGATCCTGAGGAAAACAAATATTTATTTTATTTATTCACTATTCGACTTATGTTTATAGCAATACTGTACAAAAATAGTTTTGGGTCAAACAATAAGACAGTTTTTTTTTGTATTTTTTCCGTACAATTGAATGGTGTAATCAGTTTTTGATTTTTTTAAAGTTTAAACAAATTATCAACAATTACTGAAAAATTCATTGCTGCAAGTCATTTTTTACTTTTTTGCATTTTTGAGCATGTTTTTGAACTGTGATTTCAAATTTTTTTATTTCACCAAAAAGTATATGTCAAAACGAAAAAAATGATTACCGGCAGAACTCTGTACGATGATTTTTTAAAGTAGAATTTTTCTTTGAAAAAAAAAAGTGTTTCACGCCGATAAAAATGAATATCTCAGAAACTTCTTGATTTTTTAATCTAAAAAAAATTGAGGTTATTTAAGACCGAGAAAGGTATACTTTCACCAAGTTTCGTCAAAAAATAATTATTTTTGCGGAAATGAGAAATAAAAACGAAAAATCGGAAAAAAACCTGTTTTTCGCATTTTTCTCGGAAATTTTGAGGTTATGTTAAAAAGTGACCTCTACAAAAGTTGTAGTTTTGCATGATCTACAACTTTTGTATTAGATACTTTTTTGTTTGACGTCAACTTTCGCCAGAAATCCCAACGATACAATTTTTCATAACTTTTCCACCCCCAAATCAACCCTCCGCCGCCCCTGCTTACGCATTTATTTTTTTTCGTTTATTATAAGCCTCTACCATTTCCACTTATAAAAATCCAGGTAACAATTTTCTTTTTTTTCCGTCTAAATGAGTTATTTTGATCGGTCTAATTAGAGAAAAAAACGTAACGTATAATAAACATAAATAACAAATAATATAATGGTTATTCAAATGTGCTGCCATCAACCATTACACATCGCTCAGCGCGCATTAGAGTTAAATTAGGACTTCTAGGGAGGCCAAGAAATTGGGCCATGTCACCCAATCCACCGCCCAGAAAATTGACCATCTACCCATTCTCGAATGATTCGCGTTGAATGCGCTGGGTGTCCGTTTTGTTGAAAGTAAAGAAAAAAAACAAAGGTGGCTTATCAAATTGAAAATTGACAATCTGTCATAACTTTTAGTTCTCAGTAACTTTTTTAAGTAAATATTTTTGATATTTTTAAAAACAAAGGTACTTTACTCTTGACAATTTTTGAAAAATCATCGTAAAAACGTCCTGTGCATTCATTAATTGGACTAATTTTTTCAACTTCTTAGTTTAAGGCCAAGCAGAGATGAAGCCCAGAAGCTCATATTTCAATTCGAATAATTTTTGTCATTTACACCCCACGTGCACAATCTGTGGACACACTAGATAATAATGATACAATGGATAAGATAAGAATATTTATTGAATATGAGTTTGGAATTTGAGTCTAAACAATGAAAATTTGGAAATGAATTCACTGACTAGGAGCCTTTATTATTGGAACGCTTGGGTTCGCACTTTTCACACTTTCTTGACTGCTTGGAGTCTTCACTACAGAACTTTCTCTCTATATTTAAGTTAGTAAGGAACTAACTGAGAAACTTGAACTGCTCCGAGTACAATATTTTAATTTTATTTTGTTAAGTCGAATTGGAACTGCTTTTGGATCAGAATTCGTCGATATTTATACGTTTTTAGTGCCATAAGACCCCACGCTACCAAGGTGAGGACCCCATACTACCAATAAAATACCAAGGTAGTAAAATAAGTTTACAAAGGCTGAAACTGTACATTTAGGTTATACAGGGTGTCGCTGAAAAAGATGGACAATGCTTGACCACAGGTTCCTTGGATGAAGATGAGACTATTTAGCCTAACTTACTCATATACAAAAGTGCACACCTACTGAAATATAGCCTTCCAAATATAGAGCAGATAACCTAGTTTTTTTTCAAAGAATTTGAAAACTGTTTCTCTTAGAAACCTTTATTATATAATAAAAAATAAGGGCAATGTAAATAAAGAATACATATATAGAGGGTGTTCTCTTTCTAGTGCCTGTGCGCCACCAGCTATCCCGTACCTTTTTTTATGTGTACACCAGCGACACCAAAATTTATATTTTTAAAAATAAGCACTGTTTTAGATTTTTTCCTTTTACTAAATTTTGGTATCATCTATGGATTTCGAGTAAAATTGGCATTTTTTATACATTAACACGTTGACTGCGAGATAATCTCAATGTACTTTGTCCGTGACTGCGATACATATCTTCGGGGATATGTAACAAAACTTCTTCTGTGTGCGGTACATATCCCTGGGGATATGTAATTTTTTTACATTTGACCCCATAAAATTAAAAATAACACAATTATCGCTATAAACTTGCATGTATCTGTAACTATATATCCTACGATACCAACGTTTTCATTCGCAAAGAGTTTTGAAAAGAAAATAATAGAAAAATCATTATTTCTAAAAACTACAGAGTCTGCAACTTTCACAAGATACACTAAAAATGTGATTATTGAGATTCGCATATTTTTTATAATGAGTACATACCCCCCGAGGTATGTACCGCAGTCAACGTGTTAAATATAGGCAAAAATTTAGATTACTAAAAAATAACAGGACCACAAAAAAATGAGCGAAGGGTTCCTTGAACCAGACCAAGTGGATCATATGTTTTTTGGGTAGCTGAAACCGAATCCGAAACCTGTTTTGCCCCATCATGTCAGCGTTTTTTCTAACCTCAAAAAACAGCTTGAGACTATGAAACCCAACAATATCAACCCTTAAACCATATAACCCTATACTTTCATAACTCAATAACCTTGAGCTCGATAACCTATAACTCTAAGACCCATAACCTGAAAATTTATAACCTCAAAACTCATAAATCTCAAATTCCAATAAACTGCAAACACAAAATGAGCAAAAATAAAAACAAAAAACTTACAAGCTAAACTCGAACCTCAATCTCGGAGAGTTTTAACTTCATAATTTTACACCTCCATCACTTCATTATTATACAGTTTCAGCTTTTGTAAACTCATTTTTCTACCTTATAGGCTATTAACTATGTCGAAAAAAAGAGGTTACAAAGGAACTACAACGTAACGGAAATTTTATTCTTTGATATGTTCAATTGACCCTAAGAAATGATAAAACCGCGGAGTGCTACCTTTTAAAGGGGTGCATTTTTGAGAAGGAAGTAAAAAGGTGGTATTTTCAGTTTTTTTAGTTTTACTCGAAAACTATGCATTTTTTCACTATAGTTGTCAACAGAAAAGTACCTACAACTAATAGAAACCAAGATACATGGGATCAAAGTTGGCTACTTTTTGGATTTTTGTCCAATTTTTGCCCTTTTTTGACGATTTTCGTCATAACTTTTTTCTGAGTTAATTTAGGTATATGTAATGCCATATTCAAATGAAAGCTGGTTTCATGACCTTTAAAATGGTGCCTGTTTTGTACAATTAAAATCAACCGAGATATGTCAATTTAACCAATATAGTTTTTCTTATTTTTATAAAATTTTTATTACTTTTGGTATTATTTTGTCTAATAAGTTTATTTTTGTGAATGTAAATGTTAAAATAAGTTTCTAGGTGATTGAATATTATTATTTATTATTATAAAGATAGCACTCCGCGGTTTTATCATTTTTTAGGGTCAATTGAACATATCAAACAATAAAATTTTTGTTACGTTGTAGTTCCTATCTAAAGTACATAGTCAATAGCCTATTACTACTCGCGGCACATTTGACTGACTTTTTTGGCTTCTAGCTGTCTAGGTCTTTTGTGTTGCAACCTGAACGCTACAATCCCCCATGATCAAATTTTAAATAGTCACTTTGAAATTAAAATTATCTATAAAAACTCAGACCTTGGGATGAATAACAAACAAAATATTAAACATAGAGAGATATAACAGAGTACAAGAGTACTTGATTAAGTTTTTCTAGTTCTTGTAACACCAAAACAGCATTTTTATTCATCTGGTAAAATAAACCATGACTTTTTTCAAAATTGGAAAGGCTTGTGTGTTTACATGACTGAAAATCTGTGTAAATTAAAAAATTTATTTTAAAGTAAAATTTTAGGGGTTTCCTGAATATTTCTAATTTAGCCGTTAATTTTTTAAAAAACCATAAATTACCCTTTTTTTCCGAAAAGTTGCGGCAGCATGTTATAGGAAATTTATTCCAGTTTGCAAAACTGCCCTTCAATTCTCTGTACGACCATTTGTCGCAGAGATATCGATGATTGAAGATAAAAGTATCCTTTTCCATTAAGTCTGATAATTCGATGAAAAATGGTTGCATTAAAATTAAAAAAAAAAAAGGAAATTGAAGCTATTTAAAAAAATAAACAAGCTATTTAGTCCATGCAATGGCTTAGCTGTAAAAAATTTTTCCAAGTTCGTGGAAAAAAAAAGCAAAATTTTTTTGTCGCGTTACTTCTTAGAACTGCATGATAACCATAGCTCCTAAAAAATTTCGACTGAAAGATCTAAAAACTAGAATCTTAGAGCTTCAAAATGTTTTTTTTTTAATTCCCGATATAACCATTTTTCACTTAAATACAGTCTGTCAAAAATCAAAGAAAAATTTCGGAAATCCTTTTGACCCTTTAATTTTTTGCATTAGTTTATTTGTAAGGCAGAAGCATGTTTGTACCAAATGTTGTATGTTTAACAGCATAATTTGATAATTGCTTTGGTAATTTTTTACAATACAGATGTACAGAGCCTTCATAAATGATTACACGCCACATAACCGCCGAGCTTAGGCAACCAACATTTCATGGCTGGTACTGTCAACTAAAAATTCTTAAATTCTAACATCACCAATATAAATGATTAGTTTACAATAAACAATGACAAACTGTTATGCCTATGCTTGAGATAATGTGATTGCTGATTGGTTGAATAGAATCTCGTGAAAAATTACGCCAATCACTAGCCGGTGAAACAAAATGTGTTTTAACGTAATCTTGATCTTATTCAATTTTACTGAAATTTTATTGCCTATGTGAAGGAAACAAAATTACTGTTCTAAACAAAATTACTGGTCATGTGGCTTGTAATCACTTATGAAGACTCTGTAGAAAAGATGTGCCATTTTTTAATTTCAAGTTTTACACCATTGGAGCAATAGTAATGTTAGCCTACAAAACGATTGGGTTGCACTACTTTTACAGTGACAAAAAATACATATTATATGAGGAAAACTTTTGTTATTGGATTTTAATAAACATCGATATGAATAGTACTGCTATACTTTAAATAGACTTTGAACATCTGTTAATTATTTTAAATTCCCCAACAGACCTAAAAGATAAATGACATTTTTAAGAGTTTCTAACAATGCAGTTTCCCATATGATCCATTCTATTTGCATCACTATAAAAATCATGTGATCTTTATGTTATTTTCCGCGCGATGGTGCTTTTTTACTTCAAATTACTGTATCTTTTTATGTAGACATTCAGAAAGACCAAAACTAGGATTTATATTACGATTGTGCCAGAGGTGTAAAAGTTGGGTGACAAAGTGACACTTCTTTAACTCTGTATAATAAAAATTTACTATAATTTTAAATTAGGTAGATGCTTTGTGTAAACCACATTTTGTTTAAATTGAAATGCCAAAATAAAAAAGAAAAAATTACTACAGGCTATAGAAAAAATTATTTATATATGTAGTTCATTGGCTATTTTCAAAACAAGTTTTAACTGCAATCCTAAATAACGTTTTCTAAATTTATTTTTTATATCGTTGAATTTTGACATATTTAAAAGAACTTACTATGTCATTAACAGGGTATTAAGTATCTCTGTTCATTCACAGTTTTTAGAGCAGAACCTGATCTTAAAATGATATAACAATTTTTACCGGCCCTATATACGTCTGAAATACAACTTATTAAGTTAGAAATATAATACTCACTCTCAAAGTGAACAATGGAATCAATTTGATCGATATAACCATTCATTCTTCCTTCAGTAATCATTTGACTGGCAATCTTCTCTGCCTTAGATGGATTGATTTCTAACAAAGCTCCTAGCTCTTCAAAGCTTATGTTGTTGTATAGTTTACTAGCAGATAACAAGTTATGTTCAATAACAGCTCTGTCCAAAATAGTAGAACCATCAATGGTTGATGCCTTTTGATGTGGTTGGAGAAGTGCCTCAAAGTCTCGTAATTCAGATCTAAAATCAGTTATATCAAAAAAAAACTAATTTGCTACTAAAAATGAGTTGAAAAAAGAGGTTGTTTCCCAGATCATTTTAGATTAAAAAACCTTATAACCAAGCCAGTTTGAAACAGTGGCGGTTCTTGACTTCCTTACCAGGGAGGGCAGAAATATTTAGGTACAATGTATTGAAAAAAAAAAAAAATCAAATATAATTGAAAGGGTCAGTACAAAAAGTGGTTAAGTCAGATGTTTGAGTTTCTGTTATAGATGTTAAAATTTAAAATTTTGAAAAGGTGCCCACATCTACATTTTTAATGATCATACTTTTTAATTTTTTAAATAAAAACTATAGCTTTAGGCAATATAATAACATAACGTGTAATCAAAAATTTATTCGATTACAAGAATTTTTTTTTAAATTTAGACTGTGGATAAAATAGGTTCAAAATATGAAAATGAGGAACTTGCTATGAAAATGAAAAACTTCTTCCACTGAAATGACGATCTACTAAGATCTTGACATAAGGGATTTCTCGCAGTAAAATGCTTCTTGCCATAAATCTGACGTCGCCAACGTATAGTGCAGGTAAATTCATATAGATGGCATCTCTGAAATCAATCTCACAAAAATATGGATTTAGATACTTTTTGCACTGACCCATTCAATTGGGTAGTTTTATTTTACGGAGGTTTATCTGATTTGGAATTCACAAACAAATATTCATAAAAAAATTAATATAGGCTTATTAATATGAAGAAAATCCTCAAAATAAATTATGACTAGTTTAGATATCTTAGATACCTAAGAGGCGAGATATTAATAAAATAATTTTTCAAGATTTAGTACAGTCTTATGAGAATGCAGATTTTTTTGGCCTTTCTATTTAGAATGCGAATGCGAACAGTTTCCACAGCAACTTATATAATTAGAAAACCGACATCTAAGGAACCATATAACAGTTCATAGAAATCGATTAGGTACATGTAAGATACATAATTTATAATAATTCTCCTTCAAACTGCTGTAGTTGACTAACTTAACCTCCATATGCGTGATAGCGGCAACGCCGCAGTCTCGACATAGCGTATTATTTGAAATTCGCAGGTGTCCAAACAAACTGAATGATTGAATGCGAGTGAGCGAACGCCGAGCCAAGTGCGCCAGCCAAGTGCAACGTTGCCAAATCTAAAGGCTTACTACTTTAGTCACTAGCGAATCTACAGAAACTCTCGTTAGACTTTAGACGTACCTCCATACCCGATAAACCTCCTTAAGTACTATTAAAATATAGTGAAAATGTGCTCAATATAAATTTTTTATAGTGAGATTCTATTCTTGTGCTTTTGTCCGAAATAAACTTCAATTATTTTTTCATTAAAGTTTGGTATTTCTCGTTCCATTGATTTTTCAATAGATAGCGTTACAAGTGCTGTTTTACAATTGAATTCAATGTTTTACAATATTTTAAAAAACACAAGAAAGAATAAGTAGTTAACAAAATTTTACACATGTAAACAAATTATGTTTAAGAAAGTGAATAACTGTTATTCGGTTAGGAGCGAACTAAATAGAGCCCAAACTGCATAGTAATGCGGGACAGTAAATAGAATCCAGATTTTGATACTTTTTTAAAATTGCAACTAAATATATAAAATTTTATAGGTAACAGTTAATATGCAATAGAATATTAATTATAGAAACGTCTAATACAAAGTGACAAAGAAAAATTTGAAGGAACTATTTAATAGTTAACGAACACAATTACCTGCGGATAATTCGTTCCAAATACATTTTCTCCAGTATGGCTACAGCAGGTAATTGCTGACAACGTTCATCCTTAAATAATGTAGCTAACATTCTAGACCTCTGCTGTCCGGCTGAAGCTAAAACTGTACAAACTAAGGCATTTCTGAGTGCCGTCATTCTTTCATCCTCATGAACAATACTTCTGTAAGATAACTCATTATAACGTTGAGCAGCTTCTATAAACTTTCTACGATAATCCAAGACCCTTGCGTAACAGACTTTGTAATAAATTTGGAGTTGTTCATTGCGGGACTCTGCTTGTAACAAAGAAGCTCTATTAATGAAGGCCTCCGCTTGTACAGGGTCATCGTCCTCTAAATATAAACGTGCAATTTTCAAATAAGTTTCTAGTTTATAATCTACAGTATATTGTTTTTGACCAGTTTCTAATGGTATTCCAACCAAAACAGCTGCAGCTTCTCTCCACATTTGATTACGTTCATATATATCAGCTAAATGTTGTCTAATACTGGCAACTTGTTCTTCAAATGATATTACTCGAGGCTGTACTTTTTCAAGCATATAGTGAGATACAGCTTTTGATACATCATCAGGCAATTTCATTAGATGAGAACTTATTTCTGTTAAAATTTGGCGCGATATAACTAAACTTACATTTTCATTAACAACTGCAAATAGGATAATATTAGTACACGGTAAAAACAGTAAAAACAAAACATTTACTTGCTTCTATAAAAATTTGCAGGCATTCGATTAGTTCCGAATCATTTTCTTTTAGTATAGCTTCCAATGTAGAACGATATCTACAAAAAACAAGAAAATCATCCAAGTATGAAATTAATGACCAAAGATATTTACTTTTCTGCTTGATCTTTATGAGAACCTCCAGATGCGATAATATTTTGAAGTTGAATGCGTATATTGGTGGCTTTATTAGACATTTTTAAATCTTAATACACGACTTAAATTTTAAGATACTATAACTATAACAACTCTACCATTAAATTGTTGCAATTAAATTTAAGTACGTACAAGGTAGTCAAGGTACGAGTTTTGTAATTAATCGCTTTTAAATGTAGTAAAAATTATGGTAAAACTTCTTCTGAAATTAGGTTAGGATCATAGAAAATATAGAAAAGTTAGTATTATATTTTCTATGGTTAGGATCAGGAGACTAGGGAGGCGTTCCGTATCTTAACCGAATTTCATGGTTTTTACGTTTCCCGTTCCGTAACCCTCCGATTCCTGCATAGCCGCACTACCCTACCCAACCATACCACACATAAACATAACACCACCCCTGGGGTTTACACAGACGAGCCGGCGAAGCAAGAAGAGCGCCAGAAGAAAGGGCCCTAGCCGGCAGGACCCAGCCAGGACAAAAGGAGGTCTCACAAAGCGCCTACACTGGCCGCATTTGCGGTCGGGGTAGACGACGGATGAGGCCCACCTACGAAGGCTGTCCAGGCCTACACGAGATGAGGCAGGATAAAGAGGGATGATCCCCCTCGATCCCAAATCATTGAGGCCAATTTCTAGCCATGGAATAATGGCGCGATTCCTGAAATCTGATTA